TACAGCTGAAAAAAGTAAGTTGCATCCTACAAGCGCTTCTTTCTGTAAGATAAAGAGTTACTATTTAACTTGATAAAAATTTCATCATGAATTTCTTACAGCTTCATATAAAGACGAATACCAACTGTCTCACTAGTCTTCGCATTTTAGTACACTTGTTCCAACTGTTTAATCAATAAATTAGTTCGTTTACTAAATAAGTACACTTATGATGATAGGAACGGCACATATTGTATCCCATATAAGACGTTCAATTTAGTTTCGTCGGACATGACTAGTGTATTTGACAACATATACAGCTTTTTGTGTTTGTCAATTGAAGGTTAATATGGGAATGTGTGAAGATGCCTATATAGATCTTCTCTCAATATGATCAAATATTTGTTTCTCTTACATCTAAGACAGCGTTGGAACCGGTCCGGTCGAATTGGTAAATATCGAAAATTCATCGGTTGAAATTTCATAATAGCTACCTTCATTCAACTCTTTTTTTGTAAAAAATAAGAGTTTTTTTTTATGAGTTTTGCTATCACATTAATGGAATGATACGTTATCAATAGATATCGAATGGCTTTAGAAACTGTCAGCAATGCAAACGTTTGTTCAGTTTAGGATGAATATTGGTCTTAATCATAAACGCACAAGCATGGAATCATGCGTTTTAGAAGAAAGAGAAATCAACGAAATTGTGATGATACGTCCGTTTAATCGATAGACGCATACTATCCTCTCAACAGTGAAATTATTTTTGCTCTTTTGTTCTATTTCTCTCTCGTCCGTCTGTTTATAGTGCACTTGTTCTGTTTTGACCTGATCACGTTCTCTGTCTAAGTGAAAAAGAATATCATTACAAATAATTTCTTCACTGTTTTCGAATATGATTAATCCTGATAATTTAAAATGGGGACAAATACAAGACAAATTACCATCCAAAGAATTTGTTTTGGTGAACAATGCGAAGGCGGCTCATAAGGTTGGGGTAAACGATATTTCTCTGGTGGGGCTAATCGAAGATGACGGAAAACAGCAAATATTCGGTAGATGAACTGCTTGCAAATATTGTTTGAACGCATATCAAACTCATTCAAAGAAAGATGCTTCTCAAAATCGAAAAAAACTATGGCTTGACTTTATTACATGCATATACCAAGGAGTGCCGCGCGCATTCTAGAAAAATTCCATCTTCGACATCGATAGATGTAACACTAAAAGAATTTGTTCCTGTTCAAACACTTATGCCTCGTTTTGCATATAACAAAAGCTAATTGAGCGAATATTGACGTCAATAAATGGAAAATGCAGAACTTAAATTTGTGGCGGCTGCAAGTCACTCGTTCAATGCTCTTGAAAATGATGGTGTCATGGGTTTGGTGCAAGTAGCCATCGACGTTGGTGTCTAAATGAGTAAGGTGAATTGTTCGTAATATATTTTATGATAGAAAGACAATTCGTAGTGACGCAATCGCTAAATTTAATGATTTTTCAACCACGATCTGACAAATTCATGATGTATCAATTAAAAACTATTGTGTTGCTGCCACATGTGACATGTGGACTGATGATTATATTAAACGTTCTTACTTCTATTTTTCGACTCTCTGGGCCACCGACAAATAGAAACTTTCTCATTGCTTATTACGATGTAAGCACTTTTCGGTAGATAGTAAAACCGGCGTGAACATTTGGCAAGAAATAAAATCTATTTTCAAATCTTACAATTTGTCATTCAGTGACACATCCATCGTCACTGATCAAGGTAGTAATATGGTTGCGCCTTTCAATATCATTCAGGGAACTCATGTTCTGTACATGGCCCATCGATGTAATACTACTCTGGAAGCCGACTGGAGTAGAGAAAATGCAAAAAATCTAATATTCGCCATGTTCAATTTAATTATTAGCTAATCGGTTCCACAACTGGAACTGACTCTGTCGGTTTCAGGGATAGAACCGCCCTAGCAAATCGGTACTGATTCGATTGAGGAAATCAATTCTATCGTTAGAGACCGAAATCTCATCGGTTGAAAGTTTTCAAAAATCTTCTTTGTTAACTCTGCTTTTGACCATAAAAACTAAGGTGTCACATGTTGTTTTCAGTCAGAACGCGTAAAAAAGTGCTCAAAACATATGCTATAGTAATCATTTTTTCTAAGATTCTCTTTAAAAAGATTCTTTTTGATGAATGTCTTTTACATGCGCCCCTAAACTTTTCAATATTTAGAGACATTTTTCCAGAAACCGTTTTTCAAAAAAATTCGATATTTTTCCATCGGCTTTTAACAGGCTTTCAGCGAAATTTCACCGATTAAACATATTCCAAGCGACCGGTTTTCGACCGGACCGGTTTATGATTTTTCAACCGGTTCCAACATTGATCTAAGAGTACGACGTGATAAAGGAGTTAATAGCTTACTACATCATCGTATCATAAATATATAACCCGGGAAGTAAATATACTTGTACTGACATCTTTAAATATATTTTCATTATAATGATATGCTTTTATAAACTAATCTCATATTCCAATTGCGCTAGGAGTTCTCTATCATTCTGTATACTAACATCTTCGACTGGAATTCATTCACTAAAAAGTAAGTTCAATGCAATGAAGACATTCTCACGATTAGATTCTAACTGAAAGCATTTTTTACCATCTTCTCACTTTATTTTTCAAATTTATCATCACTATACTAATTGATTTATAAAAACAAATTATTATATATTCTGATAGCCTGTGAAATTCTCTATCACTCTGAATAATTGCTTTTTTCTCGCATCAGTTTATTTAGATAGTATGTTCAATGCAACAAAGCTGCTTTGCAAGAACATAAAAATATCGAATTTTTTGCTGCATTTTCACTTTTTTAGGAAAGATTATTATTACACTAGCGAGAACCCGTGCATACTGCACAGCTGTTTTGTCCTTTAACGCATGACCTCAGACATTTAACTTTTCATCCGGTAAAATACATACAGATACTCTATATTATGTATATAGACAGATAGTCCTACGGCCTCATACTCTCATATCGCACATATGTTTATAGGCAATGTAACCTTCGACCTTATAGCCTTATATTCCCTGCAACCGTATCTCCATATTGCCTTACTCCCTTCAGAGCCTATCGGTATCACAATATAATAGCCCTTGATGACCAATCAGTATCCCGCTAGGATAGCCCTTGAGGACCTATGAGTAACCCATAGGATAGCCCTTGGGGGCCAATGGATACCTCCATATAATAGGTCTTGGAGACCTATGGGTACGCCCATGGGATAGTCCGTGAGGACCTATAGGTACCACTATAGGATAGCCCTTGGGGACCTATAGGTACCCCCATAGGATACCTCTTGAGAACTTATGGGTAGCCCCCTAGGATAGCCCTGTAGGACCTATGGGTACCCTCTTAGGATAGCTCTGGAGGACCTATGGGTACCCTTTTAGGATAGCCCTTGAGGACCTATAGGTACCCCATAGGATAGCCCTTGAGGATCTATAAGTACCCCATAAAATAGCCCCTGGAGATCTCTCCATTAGAGTCTTATTTGACCTTTGACCTTTGACCTTTGACCTTTGACTCGACACAGAGAAACACACAGACACACACACTGAACATTATATATAGATTATGAATATATTTGTATAAAATTATTTATAGATTCTGATAGCCTCTGTAATTCTCTATCAACCAACATAGTTAGGCCTTTTCTTAAACTTATTTGCTGAAGAATAAGTCGAGAATAAATAAGGCTCCCTTGAAGGAGTTCAAATAATTAGACTTTTGAAACAAAATCTTAAGATGATCGAGAACATGACGCACTATCAAGACATATATCACTTCTTCTAAAACTTCTTTTTTTATTGATAATAAATCTTGAATAAAAAAAAGTGGTATTAATAAAAGAAAACACATTTGCTGGTGCTCATCTAAGAGGTTATCTGTTTAATAATAGAACTATTCTTCAATAAAAAACTTGAAGAAAAGAGACAAATACGTAGGGTGATAGAGAACTACAACGTCTATCAGATTATATGGCTTCCTTGATAAACATTAGTTGCCATAATAATAATTATTGGAGAAAAACATTACAAGAAATAAATTTCTGTTCTTACAAAGTCGATACAGCTTTGTTGCATTGAACATACTATCTAAATAAACTGATGCGAGAAAAAAGGCAATTATTCAGAGTGATAGAGAATTTCACAGGCTATCAGAACATATAATAATTTGTTTTTATAAATCAATTAGTATAGTGATGATAAATTTGAAAAATAAAGTGAGAAGATGGTAAAAAAAATGCTTTGAGTTAGAATCTAATCATGAAAGTGTCTTCATTGCATTGAACTTACTTTTTAGTGAATGAATTCCAGTCGAAGATGTTAGTATACAGAATGATAGAGAACTCCAAGCGCAATTGGAATATGAGATTAGTTTTATAAAAGCATATCATTATAATGAAAATATATTTAACCCTTTGAGGACGGGATTACTTTTCAAAAAGATCACGTCCTCGAAACTTCGAAATAATATCTCTGCTAGAAAGAAGGTGTATCAGGATACAATACATATGGTGGTGTAGCATCACATCGGTGGTGAAGAGTCCATAGTCTGCACTAAATGTAGATCACCGCTATATAATGAGAGACATATTCAAGTGCGTTACAAGTCGATAGAGAGCCGTTGCCTATATATAGGCTTCCCGTCCTCAAAGGGTTAAAGATGCCAGTACAACTATATTTACTTCCGAGGATATATATATATATTACGAAAAAGTTCTGCCTATAGAAGATTGAAAATGGCCAACCAAGGACCATTTGCGATGATGATACAAGAAGAAGAAATAGTTCAATACCAACGTGCCGTATTTCGGCTCGTTCGTAAGCTTGATCGACGACTTCTTCCATTTTTGGCATTCCTCGAGATTTCTAGATTTGGCTTTCAAGTTGCCATAGGTATTATTCTAATACGTTTCAAGCATATTCCAAAAAAGATTTTCAAATGTTTACAGGTCATGGCCTGCTTACTGCTTTCAAATGTGATCTGAATTTGACCACAGAGGAAAATAACTGGGCGACATCAGCCTTTTTTATTGCATATGTAAGTTTCTTCTTGGTGTTTTCCTCCTCCAATGGAAAAACGACTCAGTCTGCTTTTGAGCAATTTTATTCAAAAAAATCATACGTATATTAATCTGTAGCTAACCTTCGCAATTCCGAGCAGTTTAATATTGCGCTTGCTTGGTGCGACACGTTATTTATCACTAAGTTTAATTTCATGGGGCGCAATTACGATTGGCATGGCTTTTGTAACAAATGCTCGTCAACTGATCGTTCTTCGATTTCTTCTCGTAAGTCAATCAAACATTTAACAATAGATATCTTAAGACATATTGTCAATCAAGGGCATGGTTATAGCTGGCTATTTTCCAGGCATCATCACTTATTTTTCCTTATGGTATCCAAAACGAGAACAAATCATGAGAATTGCTATATTTTGTACTGCCACATTCGGCTCGGGAGCACTCGTTGGCATTCTGGTAATTATGTCAATCGCAATCGTAAGCCTGCTAATTGACAATAGTTTTTTAGGCGTATGCAAGCAGCAAAATGAACGGCGTTGCCAATTTGAAAAGTTGGCAATGGCTCTTTTTGCTCCCAGGACTGCCTGTCATCCCAGTAGGTATTGTCACTTATCTCGCTCTTGGCAATATACCTGAAACTGTCCAATGTAAGACTAAATAGAAGAACATTCTTAAAAATATTTATTCATTCACATTCACATCAGGGTTAGATAATTGTGAGAAAGACTTTCTTACAAACCTCCTTCGACATGATGCAGGTGTGGCGAATAGTGAGCGAGCATCGGACTCGTTGATATCATGGCGACAAGTGTGGTATGTGTTTGTCGATTGGCGAATGTATCTGTATGCTACTATAAGTATCGGCGATTTGGGTGGCATAAAATGTCTTATGACATCTTTGCCGTCCATGATGAAGGGTTTAGATTACTCTATCGAAGAAGCACACTTAATGACAATACTTCCATATGTTATCAGTTGCTTAGCTATACTGTTGGGTGGCTATTCATCGTCACGTCGTAACGAACATGGTTTCCATCATGTTTTTTTTCTATGCATTGGTCTACTCGGTTTCATATTGATGATAAATCTTGAACATCGGAGCAAAGTAGCCGTGTATGTCAGTGTTTGTATTGCTTGTTGTGGAACGTTCTCAGCACTCTCTATCCTTTGGTCGTGGTTCACAAATAATGTGGGAGGTAACACAAAGCGGACCGTAGCTGTCGGTATGATGTCGGGTATTGGACAGATAGGCGCCATCATACAGCCTCAGGTAAGGAAGGACTTGTCATCTGACGACGGAGTCCATCCAACTGTGAACCGTCGTTTGAGCTCATATGTTGCTCATAGGTACGGCTCATAAGTTAGATAAAAATCGTAAAAGTGTTCGTGCTATAAGGTCTTTCCTCTCGAGTTATGGCTAGTTTTAGAGCTGTACCGCTCACGTGAGGGGCGGTCGCTCACGCTCATATGAGCGCACATGCGCGTGAGCGGTACAGCCCTAGTCATATGAGCGTGAGCGACCACCCCTCACCTGAGCATGAGCGTAGGGCTGTACCACTCACGCTCATGAGCGCTGATATGAGCGTGAGCGAAAAAGCGCTCACGCTCATGTGCGCTCATATGAACGTGAGCGACCACCCCTCACGTGAGCATCAGCGTCAGCGAAAAAACGCTCACGCTCATATGAGCGCTCATGAGCGTGAGCGGTACAGCCCTAGCCTAGTTTTTCTGAATTTTCAGCCTATTACAAGGCATTATGAGAAAAACCGTATCAAGGAGTTTTCGCGTGAAAATTTCCCCAATACTAGACATCATGGTCCTTATCATATCTTGAAAATTCCAGCACAAACGAATGTTTCTGTTTCGAGATAACATGTTTTCCAAAACCAGTACTTTATTGCAAAAGCTCTAAAAATAGTCGATTTTTGAGGTATTCTATATCGTAGGACAAAGTAATCCGTTTCAGCTGAAACTTGCAGCATATAACAAGGACCATGATGTCTATTCTTGGAAAAATTTTCAGGTGGAAAACTCTTTGTTGCGATTTTTCTCATAATATCTTGTGATACGCTGAAAATTCAGTAAAATAACCGTAACATGAGAGGAAAAGTCTCATGGCACTAACCCTTTTATGGCTTTATCTAACTTATGAGCCCTACCTACGAGCAAAGTATGAGCTCAAATGGTGTTTATCAGTTAGATGAGTTTCTTTGTGAGCGTTCAATTCAATGATAGGTCCTTTTGCCATACAGGTGCAACGTGTGGAAGACAAATTAGTATCTCGACAAGACCACATCATCGCCATTGGTTTCCTAGTCGGTGCACTCATTATGACTTTGATTCTACGCATCTGCCTGATGATGGAAAATCGTCGACGAGAGTATCTGTCAAACGACGATTATAATCGTGAAGCAACTATTGAAGAGCCTTGTGATTGGGTAAATATTGAAGATATATTTGCGTAGAGAAATATTTTTCACTATTTTTAGCATCCCGATAACCGGTATGTGCTGTGAAACGAACGCAATTGTGCCATAAAACGCTGAAAATGTTTGATATTAGAGGTTGTTGGTGGGTGTCGGGTGTAAAGTATTGGTGTGGGTGGATGTTGGATGTGGGTGTGTAGGTGTTGGGTGTGGATTTGTAGGTGTGGGTGTGGGCGTGCGTAAGTGAATAAAAGATATCTACACCCAGATTCGCAGCCTTATCTACACCCACACCGTTGCGGCTACACTAACTCAAACTCCACGACCTAACCAATTACATCCACGCTCAGCACCCACCATTGTACTAATGTACCTTTTCTTTATTAAAAAAATCATGCAACTGTTCTAATGTGAGAGAGCCGACTTTAACCATATGTTAACAACTTTAGCCATGAAATTGTTTTATTTTCTAAGCATCTAAGATAATGCTTTTCATAAGAAATAATGTCGCTGTGATTATTTAGAAATATCCTCTTATTTCAAAATGGCTACAGATCTCATTATTTTTTATAGAGATGATTCAAACGTAACTCCTGTGTACTTGAGCATAAAACCTAGAAGTATAATTAAATCTACAAGGACAATCCAATCTAGTCAATTTTAAAACGATCATTGATTTCGAGGTGATTCTATACGAATATGGTTATATGCATTGAGTGTGATGCTTGCACTATTTTGTTGCTCGATATGGAAATTTTGATTGTTAGCTGCTTTTCGAAAGTATTTTTAATCGGCTCTTTTTCGAATTAGAAATAAAACGAAAAGTTGCATCTTTGAGTAACAGTTTTTGTCAATCTCGTTTGACTGATTGTTCTTATAATGACAACAAATATCATAGCAATTTTATTTTCAACTGAGACAGCACGTTTTAAATGTTGCACACAAGTTCTGGAGCATAGATGTCTATTATCGCAGATTTGATACATACGATGGGATAATTTTTATATGGACCATCTGTCGCCCTGAAATATCATCCAACTCGACTTTGGTCACTCGAAATCTTGTTCCAGGTTTTAATAAGATTTCTCGTTCACTCTCAAAATATGTATTTGTGTCTAAATCAGTATATTGATCCATGGATAAATGGCGTTCAATTTCGATGATGTACAAAGTATTCAATCCAAAGTATTCGGCAACAATGCGATCGGCTGAAGTCGAAACGAATGAAAGCCATTTGAAATATTCTTCTTTTCGCCCAACTGCTTGTCGATATTCTTCAATCATTTTATGTGGAACACTATCACCTCGGTATACAGTCATCGAATGAGATTTGTTTCGATGAGGCAGTTCCAGAAGATGATGACCATGAATATGACGACCAATACAATTATAAACAAGATAACAGTAGGGGCCTAGTGTATCAAGCTTCGTTCGATCATCGTCACGTAATGCAGTATTAACAGTACGAAAGAGATAACATTGTTTTGTATATAGTTTTATACAACAATCTTGCAATTTTTTCATTCTTTTCTTTTCATTCATCTTAGAAGATTCATCTTTAGCCGAATTCAAAATACGTACAATATCGTTGACAATATATTCTGGTTCCTTACGACCTTCATATTTTAAACCGTTGATAAGAGCAGGAAAGATATAATTAAATTTCACATCAAGTTTTCCATTAGTAAATTTCAGTAACCAATCACGAACAAATTGTGAACCATGATAAGCTGTATCAACACCAGTACTACATTGTAAAGTCGTATTCAATGGGAAGGATAATCTTTCGCAACGAGTGGGGTCAAGTTTTGTCTTTCTCTCAATCTCTCTAAATACAGTCATTGGACATCGTCGAATAGGCCGGCGGCACTTTGGATCTTCTATGCACACTTCTAACAGCTCTATGAAATCAATGCGGTAAGTGTCATTGATAAACGTTTCTTGAAAACCATTTCTAAAGGCATTTTCCAAAGATGATGATATTTCAGTCGGGTACGGAATCCATTCGGCAGCTTGAGCAGTATCTGATAGATTTCTATATGTATGAAATAACCAAATAATTTCAGTTTCTGATGGTGGCGGAGAAATTTGGCGAACAGAAATCAATTTTACTGATGAGTCCATGCTGACGTTCGATTCCAAACACTCAAGATTTAGTTAAGAAAACTTGTTTTGTAAAGATAGAAATTTTGCTTGATTAATGCATCATTTGTAAATCAATACGATGACTTAAAACTTTCTAAAATAAACATTAGTTAATCTAGAAAAGAACATTCATAACAATTTGTATCTTTCGAATTCAAAAATCATCCACACTAGCATTATATTCTTGTCTTCAAATCCTTCAATACAATGTACGGCTAATCTCCGTGTATTATTAATATTTTTCGTACAAAGGCAGAGGTTTTTTGAATCATGCCTAAATAGCAAAAAACATTCTTATTCTTTCTCGATATGCACCTATAATGCAGGTGAAATGAAATGCTGAATAAATACATTCTCTTAGTTGCTAATTGGCATGTGCTTATTTAATTAGTGAAAGCAAATATTTGGAAATATACAAAATCAGAAGTTTCTTCGTCTTATCTTTTGGTTTTATATAATAATAGAATCCAAATTAATATAAACGATGGAATCCAAAGCAAAATTGAATATGCAGTCAAACATTTATCTATCGTTTCGAAATCCTAATTTGCTTTTGAAAAATAACATTTCCACGAGTACGCTTGATGGTGTTTTTATTTCAAATAAATGGTTATTATATTTTTTCAAAAAAGATTTGCCTTGTACTCTTCTCATCTTCATAGCATAAAATGACATTCGATGCTTTTACATATTCAACTTATGTTATAGTACGTACCGGACGTCCAGATCCTAAATATGCTTAAAAAATATTTTTGTTTTCCAGCATAATATCAACTCTCCCTTTATCGCATGGTTCTGCAATCGCGACGTCTCTATCATATTCATCGCGTGATAAATGTTCTCGCCGTTGATTTTCTCTAATCAAACTCTTGCGTAAAATAATAGTGCTTATTAAAGCAAGCATCCCTGCTCCAGTAAACATTGAATGTCTTCGTTGATAAGTCGACTTATCAATTTCACGATAGATCTAAACGAAAAAAGATTCTTTTTTCTTAGTTATCATGCTTGAACTACACAACTTAAGTTCTTAAGAGAGTGTTCATGAGAGGATCGAATACAAGAAACACTCGGTAATTTTTTTTTCCTTTGTTTTGTTGTGCTGAGTCAACACATCAATGTCTAAAACTATCGAGCTCAAAATTTTACATTCCAATACCTTTTCTTTGAAAAGTTAGCCAATACCGACTTTTGGCACTATCGTACCTTTTTCGGAAAAAAAAAGAAAAAATTCTCTATAAAAGCTGTGCCAGGTTGTGTTGCAACAGATTATTCAAATTTTTCATGGTAGATATCAAAAGATAGAGAATTAAAAGCTGAGTAAATTAATCTACATGAATGCAATATAATGTTTTGCAACTCATGTTTTAAAAAGTGAACATGATCGAGTCAAAAGTCGTATTTTTGTTCAGTTAGAAAAACCAATTTATTTAGTGTAGTGTTTCAAAGTCAGAATTCCTCAAGTTAAATCTTGGGTGTGGGTGTGAAAGTGTCAGACTTCTTGTAGCTTACAACAGCGTACACATCTACACCCTCAAAATGCAATATCAGATCTTAGATGTAGTGATTCTAGACAAATATGAAAACTAATTATTTGTGAAATACTTGCCAAGACTGCTCCGAAAATACAACTAATAATCGCCCCTCCAAAGAAGAGAGATATTCTCATCGTTTGCTCTGTTTTTCGATATCACAAAGAAAAATAAATGGTAATGTCAGGAAAATAAACTACTACGACAATTCTCTTTAATGTACAGATCATAAAATCTCGTAATAACTCTATTTTTTGAATAACTTACGAGGAGAAGACGAACTGCGAATAGTTTTCTATTATTTTTTTTTACAAAAGCCTTATCAAATATAGTAGCTCTCCGTAACATCATACTTAATGCTGAATAGCATTTTGCACCGAGATAACGTAGTAAAACAAAACTAGAAATTCCAAAGAGTATCTACAAGAAAAACATAAAAGAACAAATATTCAATTGATAGGATTCACAAGCAAATGTAGACTGCTCTACTTTTCCTGAAAACAAAAGCGCCACTCATCTTCAACCCTAATCTGAAACATAGATGCATTAAAGTCAATGGAATAAACAGAAGCCTTGATTACGTTTAGTTATAAGCTTTTAAAAAAAAGATCGGTCATCTTTGCCGGTTAGATAATACTTCCGATGAGTTGAATATTATTAGACAGATTCAGACGTTCGTGCAGTTTTGAATGTGAGATTAGAAATAGTATCTACGTCGTCAAGAAATATCCGATCTACAAGACTATTAAGTCTGCTAGTGTTACTGTTTTCAGAAAAGGAGTCAAACAAGCTGGATTGCTCTTAACTTCTGTGTAAAGTCTCAAGTGGCCTGACGATGAGTAAATATATGGTGCCGTAGTTTATATTAGTCTCTAGGGAATGATTTTTCGCCTCATTCTTCCCAAGGAAGCCATAGTAGGTATAATGAACATAATGCACAATAAAGCCTTAATGGCCACTATTGCCATAGCGAACATCAAGAGAGACCCGGTATGACTCCTTCCGCAGTACACACGTCGACAAAGATTGCTTATACATATTTTAACCTCTTACTTCACATTCTATTGGTCGAAACAATATTGCTTGATGAAAAACATTGTTCCAAGTCATTGATTGAGTTTAGAAAATTCGCTGGTTTTCGAAAATCTATTTTGTTTCCGGAAAGTCGTATAAGGCATCATATGAAATGTTTTGTGTCAATACCTTTCAACCGCTATTAGATAAAAGATTTTAAACAAACTGTATAGCCTAATTGTTGCGACCCCTTCATTTATCTCAGTGTCATCGTTGTCATCTGCAGTATATTGTGTTCGACTATAACTTACATAAGTCATGTAATACAAAGAGATTGTTCATCCCTCTTCTTCTGGTGATAAATCGAGATCAGTTTTAAAATAGTTATTTGAGTATGATCTATAAAAAATGAAATGATAATAAACAGAAGAATATGTTTATCAAATTTTCTCATTAATTGACAAATAGCATTTTGAAGTCGCACCGTTTCTAAGCTGGAATCGATAGATCTCATCCTACGCCGTAAAATATTATCTACATCATTCAGACAAAGACATGCCTAATTGATATCTACACAACTTATCTACAGGTAGTTCACTTTCTCATTGTTGACCTGCAGATGGTCATAATTAATTAACTTGGCGTGATAAAACGCTGAAATTTACACTGCAGCAAGATGTATGAAAGTACCAGTTCCACTAAAATTTTCATTTCATTTGTTGAAGCTATGATGGCTTAAACAGAACAGAAACGCATGGGAACGTAGTCTTTCAAAAGGACCTCTACTATTCGAGCGACATAGAAAAAGATCGCATTTCTAGAAAATTTGTCACTCTGACCAAAATGTTTTCATTTGTGTGTGTGGCTAATTCATCAGACTTTTCGATGTTAAGGTTTTCTTTTTGTTAGTTTGTTTTGACAGAGAGTCATGGCCGAAACATGACGGTTACATGCTCATCAGAATTGTTGACACTTCCTGAAAAAACACATTTTTTATAGGTTTAACAACAATACTAGATGATCTAATCATATCAAATTGTAGCTCATCCTCTAACGATACTACCATTATTTGCATTTTTTAAAATCCGTAAGTAGTCGTCGAAATATGATCGTACACAAAACACCGTTTGTCTCAGAATTTCCACATAAAAAATGTTCGATTTTGGCTAGCGACTATCATGTATTCTCGTCCTTATTGAAAACAAATGGCATATATCAGTAGGGTATATACGAAAATCGATGGAAAATTTTTCAACGAGTAAGTACGGCCATCTTATGTTGGAGAAATGTTCTGCTCAACTTTGATTAAGCATGATCCATTTAGCGATGTAGACTGTACAGTACTGGGCAAATTTATAGAATTACTCCAAAGATTTTGATGCTTTCTATTGTAATTGTTTTCTGTTATTTATCAGGCATTGCACCGATAGTATTTAGAATCTTACAAAAGTATTTTAAATGTTTCAAATAGTTTTTATCAAATATTATTCTATAAATCCTCACTGAACCTCGTAGTTAGACATAATGGGTCGAGCTAAAGTAAGCTCGAATATAAGAGAGCATCACTTGTAACTGATGATCCAGATTTGTTGCGATTATATAAGAAAGATCGAACCAGATATTATCATATGCTATCATTGGAACTGGTTCCCCTCAAATTGTAAACGTCCAAGTCCTCGAACAGTTCATTGGCGTCTAGTGGACATCGGTAACAAAAGGTATAGAGCAGTACAGATGCTGTTAAGAAAATCTGCTCAATAGAAACAACGACTTTCTTTTGTTAATTAACATTAATATTGGGTGAATAAGTGGAGCAACAATATTTCTAGTAATGGGGCATGCTTTGAAGTATTAAATCGAAAAGATGTTACATTAATTCGTCATTTACAAACGAAAAATGATGCATCCTTCAATTTTTATTCAGAGGATCCAAAGTGGTGAATGATGTTTAAGCGCCTGAGGCTTATGTCAGATGATACTCGTGACTCGTTGGCCATGTATTATGGGAACAGTCATGAACTAGCAAATGTTAAGGTCATCAAAGAAGCATTACCTTCTTTCATTAAAGCTATATTTGATGCATGGAACAACACCTGTGTTTATGCATGACAATGGGACTCCCTCGCCGGCTGAAATATACCGTGAAATGGTTCAGAATCATAAGCATCATTATTATGAAACATCTGACTTCAAAATGATCAGATTTAAATCGCATTGAAAGGGTCAAGAAAGGTGAGCTCCACATGTAAACTCCAAATTTGGAGCTCACTTTCCCATCCACGTTTTACCATAAAATACAGTCCATGTTTTTCGGTTTAAAGCAGTACGGCCCTATTTGACTGAGAAACTAGATCGAGTTATATCTGATGTTCAATAGATACATTGCACGGGATGCTAGAGGCATCACCTGGGATCCTAGTAGCATCACCTGTGATGCTAGAGGCATCATCTGTGACGCTAGAGGCATCACCTGGGATGCTAAAGGCCTCACCTGGGATGCCAAAGGCCTCACATGGGATGCTAGAGGCATCACCTGAAATGCTAGTAGCATCACCTGGGATGCTAGAGGCATCACCTGGGATGCTCGGGGCATCACCTGGGTAGCCGTGGGGAGTAACCGTTACCAGTTATCGGGGAAAGGGGGCAACGGTCCTCCTCTTCAGGTACTGTTGGGTCCTCAAGCGATACCATAGGGGGGGGTACCCTTGGGTGCTCAAGGGCTACGTATGGGCCCTGGTCGCTTCTATCACTGAGAAATAGAACCTCGCAATTCCATTGGTCGAAACATGGACCAATTAGATTTCAGGGGGCTTTTTCTTTCTTATTATTCGGACAACCACTAGTCAAGTTCGGGCGGATCCTAGGGTTATCGAGGATTCTCTATCGAATGAGGGGTATATATGTGGGTCTCTGTAGCTTCTATCACTGAGAAATAGAACCTCACGATCCCATTGGTCGAAAAATGGACCAATCAGTTCTCAGGAGACCTTTTCTTGGTTATTATTCGGACAACCACTAGACATGTTCGGGCGGATCCTAGGGTTATCGAGGATTCTCTACCGAATAAGGGGTATATGTATGGGGCTCCGTCGCTTCTATCACTGAGAAATAGAAACCCCCAATCTTATTGGTTCCTTGTTGAAAATGCAGATTTCTGATTGCTTCTTCGGTATTATCTCGGAAATTAATGATATAGCAGGATCCAAGAACCGCACGGTACGCCCCTAGGAGAGCTGATGGCGACTTATGGGTACTCCTATAGAATAGCCCCCGGCGACTAAGGGGTACCCCCTAGGATAGCCGGTGAGAACTTATGGGTACTCAGCTAAGATAGCCGATGACGACTTATCGGTATCCCCTTGGAGAGCTCACGAGGGCCTATGGTACCCCTATAGGATAGCCCGGGCGGACTTGTCGTTACCCCGATAGGATAGCCCATGGAGACTTATGGATACGCCATAGGATAGCCCATGAAGACTTCTGGGACCCCTACAGTAGGCCTTGTGGACACAAGAGTAGCATCCTTTAGTAGGCCTGGAGGACCCAAGGGTACCCCGCTATAGTAGGCCTTGAGGACCCAAGGGTACCTCAAGAGTAGGACCGTTACCCCTTTCCCCGGTAACTGGTAACGGTTAGTTCACACTGCTAGCGAGGTGATGCCTCTAGCGTTCCAGGTGATGCCCCAAGGATCCCAGGTGATGCCCCAAGCATCTCGGATGATGCCCCAAGCGTCCCAGGTGTTGCCCCAAGCGTCCCAGGTGTTGCCACAAGCGTCCCAGGTGTTGCCCAAGCATCCCAGGTGATGCCCCAAGCATCCCAGGTGATGCCCCGAGCATCCCAGGTGATGCCCCAAGCGTCCCGGGTGATGCTCCAAGCATCCCAGGTGTTGCCCCAAGCATCCCAGGTGATGCCCCAAGCATCCCAGGTGATGCCCGAAGCGTCCCGGATGATGCCCCAAGCATCCCAGGTGATGCCCCAAGCATCCCAGGTGATGCCCCAAGCGTCCCGGATGATGCCCCAAGCATCCCAGATGATGCCCCAAGCATCCCAAGTGATGCCCCGAGCATCCCAGGTGATGCCCCGAGCATCCCAGGTGATGCCCCGAGCATCCCAGGTGATGCCCCGAGCATCCCAGGTGATGCCTCGAGCATCCCAGGTGATGCCCCGAGCATCCCAGGTGATGCCCCAAGCATTACAGGAGATACTACTAGCATCCTGGGAAATTGTGATTAGCATCCCAGAAAATGCTACGAACATTCTAGGCGGTGCTATGAATTATGGCAGAGGGGCTGAGAAGAAAAGTGAGTGCCAAACTGCGTAAACTTCAAATTTGGAGCTCACTTTTCTTGACCGAAGAAAAGTGAGCTCCAAATTTGGAGTTTACGCAGTTTGGCGGTCACTTTTCTTGACCCATTGAAAGTCTCTCGTGTCACGTAGCGATAAATCATTGAAACAAATAAAATCAATTAATGCTACAGAATTGCAAGAAATGGTGGAAAGCAGGCAATATGACTTAAAATGAATAGAGTCAGGAATCAGTTGATTAAATATCAACTTGTACAAAACAACGTATCAAAAATCGTGGTGAAACATTTGATAAATATTAAAATTAAAATTAAAAAATCCTAGGAAATACTTTGATAGAGTCCCATTCTCTTTATGCCATTTGTCTCAATTTTCACCTTCGTCTCTGAAAAGGGCTACGCTCGATGGAGCCGAAAGATTTTTACAGGTCCTATAGACACTACTGTGAGTGGTTTCTACTTTTGATTTTCCTTTGTTCGTTGTCTTTCGAATAGAAAAGTCAAAATATTGCGGCTACTCGAAAAACGCATGTTTTTTTTTGAGAGCTACAAAAATCAGCAGAACAATATTGCTTGTCTTGAAACCCAAAAAAATACTTACCCCAAATGATGTCTACTATATGTGAACAAAACGTTTCAGCTCAATCGTATATATCATGTTTGAGAAATGGGAGCGATTCTAAACTTTTTCATGGAAAAATTATTTTGAGAAAAACACGAAAATATGTAATTTTCGCTTGTTTCATTCTATAAGTTTACATTCTTCTCTAGTTTCTCGAACTTTAAAGACAATATTCAGGCCCTAATGTGTAATCAGTAGATAGATACTAGTTGAGACTATACTATGGTCACAAAGAGCTGAACATGGTCAAGAAAACAAACGTTGAGTCAGGAAAGAGGCAGAGGAGCATCCTGAATTACTTCTAAAATTCCGGCCACTGGAAATGTGATGATTCTGGTTTGATATCGGTATGTATGATACTTTTATTACATGATGAAAATTTCTTATCAGATCCTGAAAAAGCACATCTGGATTAGTATGACACATTGATCGAGAGCAACTATAACTCAGTCAAAAATAAAATTGGTTGAAAAAAACCAAGCCTTATAGTGATTCTATAATTTTTGCCGGTGCTGCATCTTATTTACTTCTATAGTAGTCACCAAACCTAGGTCAATATACATATATGCAATAGTTTTCATTTGGGTTTATTGACTTACTATGCATCACTATTTGCTTTTAAAGTAAGAAACGACAAGTATTTATTATTCGGGGATTAAAAAGGTCTGACTCGTCCTTCGTTTAGGGCAAGTATTAGATACTATTGAGAGAAAAGCAATATGCGTTGGATTTAAGTAAAAGGGGAGCCATGTTTCAAAACTTGTTTCAGACAAATAGATACACAGAAAAAGTTGAGTTAACTACCATGTTATAGGCTCTAGAATTTACAAGATGCGTAAAAATGTCTTTCTAGGAGGTAACGCTGAGATTTCAAATAGCATCTATAAGAAAATTGAATACCAAACTAAAGCGCGTTAGCAATAGGATCTATCAATACTAAATAGTAACGGGTTTGGCAACTTTTCAATATCGGATTCAGGAAGTTCCTGGAAGCATTGAATGTGGGTGTATGGTTGTGTCTTGTCCTGTGTTGCGTCCACACCCACATACATACCCATACCCGCAATAGCTTGCAGAAAAAAATGGACATGTGTAATAAACAACAAAACCATATTCATGCAGATGAATATCATACCTCAAATCGTTGCAAAATTAGGCTGAAAATATATTATCTTAAAGTAAAAAGATTGATTTTTCTGTTACTTATCTTATCACGTTTTTTTATTGGCCACATGTCCGGTTGTTTTCTTTACCACCTGTCATCTGCAAACTTAGGTGGACAGTTCGGTTCATCTGTCTTTAAAGTTTATTTTTGCGTTGCAGTTCGCTCAAAACTTGCTTTGAGAAAACTCAGGATGATACTTGTCGATGGATAAGTGATCTTTTACCTATACTAGTCATAATTTACTTTATTTTATCCGATATGAAAAAGAGCAGACGTAATTAATTTGTGAAGTTTCTTCGCACAAACCTTCTGTATCGGAATTTACATTTTGTTTCTACTTCTTTCATCATCAAGTCTATTGAATATATATTTCTGATATTTCAGAAGTTGAGATATTCATTCGGTAGCAACAATAATTCTCGCCGTCGATAGAGCAAAGCAAGAGTGACCAACCCAATAGTCAACATGACTGTTTTCTTGAACCATCCAATACAAATATTCAAACCTCGCCTCTTCCGATTTTCTGACTGTCTCAGAAAATGATTCTGCATCGTTCAGCATCGGAAAATCTTCTTTCGGAATTTTTTTATCCAAAAATTCACACAAAGATTTCCAACCATCTTGTACTTTGTACATAAGAATTCTTTCAGGTGAAATTGATGCTTTTATTTTGTTAATATAGAGTGGCATCATCTGTTCGCCTATAGCAGGATAGTTGTATACATCTCACCACCAGACCGCTCGAAACTGTTTCAATCGTTCGAAATCGCGGAGACCTGCAACTGGCCATAAACAAAAATAGTCCCAAAGCGAATAGCGTGTTTCGTTGATAGTATGTTGAATAGATCTAAGCCATTTTTCAGGATCCCGATATTGCACGATAACCTTGGTAATGAATATATACAGTGTGATCCAAAAGCAACTTTATCGAAGAGACACTGAATATTTTCACTATGTGTTAACAACATGAGCTGATTTTCTTTACCACTGATAAAGGATTGTAACTTTTTAGAAGGTTTGGAATAATGAAATAGCCTCCTACAGCCAGAATAAAAGATATAGGTGATTTTTTCAATTAGCTCTCCCACTATAGCCGTCTGGCTTGATAGTATACCACATATGTGTCACAGACAAAATTAAACTTAGGCAGAACTCGTCTTTAATTAGGCGCAAAACTATAAAATGATTTTTTTTTTCATTTAAAAATATATTCTAATTTTCATTTCAATTAAGTATAGAGATAGCACGCACTTGCTTATGTTTAACTAAATAAGCACCTACCACAGAGAACACAAATTAAAAAAATCCATTTTTTTTAAATTGGAAAATAACTAGGCAAAACTTAACAAGGTAATTTATTTATATTTTACATATCCTCTATGGACGTCATTAAATTCAAAGACAAATAAACACGGATAAAAAATGATGTCGACATAAATATAAGTAAAGTTTCTGTCTTTTTTTTTGGTCGAAACTTCCTAAGAGAAAGTAGATTTCCTTCGATGCATTAACGATTTCTATGTCGTCCTAAATTGAACTTAAAATTAGCCCATTGTAATACAGTCGTATTGATAAGCCAGTGTGAAATAAAAGTTTAGAAAAATCGATTAATAAATATAAAATTAATATAAAAAAAAGCAAACAAAACTTCTTTCTTTTCGTCTCTATCAAAATTACTTCATGATGAAAACATTTCAAAACTATGTTTAATTTTTACCTAAAGCTCAATTTTGCCTGAATGTTCAGTTAGTCAGAGTATCCTAAACGTTTCAGTCATAGGTAGCAAAAATTTGCTAAAAAACCACAAATGTGTCCCAATATAATTCTGTGTGGCTGGAGTCAAAATTTTATCTATAGATTATGCCACATAATCACTACTAAGATATCAAACAACACCAGAAATTATAGTTTAACATAAATTACAGCAAATTTTAGCCTTAACCTCACAGGTTTACATGAGATACGTTTGGAGTTTTCTCAGTAAACTCTCACTACTTATCATTGAGACGTTTAGGATACCCTGACTAGCAGACACGTATATATGGGATGAACACTAGGGGGAAGTGCGGAATTTTGAAATCCTGGAATTCTATGGAATTTATTGGAATTTAACTGAATCCAGTAGAATCCTGGAGTTTCAGTGAATCTTGCGGAATCCTATAGAATTTTAGCGTCCTCAACCTAAAGGCCTTAGATATACTACTATTGTAGGAGAATCTGTGAAAAGATATCACCAATTAATAGAACATTCTAATAACATTTTTCGTAGTTTCCTCATTCAGAACTTCTTGTTTTTAAATCCTAAAGTTGCAAATTGGTCTCCTTCAATATGTATATATTTTAGGTAAAGAACAGTATTTCAGATCTTCTGGAAAGTTGCAATTTCTTATTGCAGTCAATCATAACACTTCAAAATACTTTTGGTCCACGTTTTTTTATGAAAAGAAGCTGTAACTATTCCTTTATCAGTGGTAAAAATAAATCTGCTCATATGGTTAACACATAGTGGAAATATTCAGTTTTCTCTTCGATAAAGTTACTTTTGGCTCGCCTGTACATTTACGAAGAAAGATAAAAGGAGTCAGGATTCTGTGGTTACAATATATTTTTTGACAATACCTTCGCTTCAGGATAGGCCTGAGCAATTTCAACTGCAAAATCAGCAAATGGAGAACAAACCCCGGCCACATATTCTGGAAACTGTTTATCAAAGAAACATCGCCAATCTTGACTGGTCCATGTTTTCTCCAAATGAGTTTCGTAGATTTCTCGCCAAGCTGCTGCTAGGTGAGGATCAGCCATACAAGAATGGATGTGCATTGTCTTTATGTAACCCAATTGTTCAAGAGCTGCTTGCGTTGATACCGTACCTGTCCGTGGTAAACTCGCGACAATGACGTTGATCGGAATGATATATAGACTGATGATACAATAATGATCTAGAAGAGAGCCGAATGTATTATGAGGAAAATTCCAAATTAAAAGAATGGAAAATCTATAAACACAGTAGTTAAACAAGCACAAATGTGCAGCAATGGTAGATCGAGAAAAAAAGAAGGAGAACGCGCCTTGTTGATGGGTGTTTTCGTATCGGGAACACCTAACCGTGGAACAATAACTAACAAAGACATATCTATCTTACCTG